GGAACTTCATTTTTATCTTTATATAGTTACTGCAAATTGAAAACAAATTTTCAAGTAGTTATGAAGGACATGGGTACTTCTAAATTTGTAAATCTTACAAAAATTGTGTAAAAAACATTAAAGATGCTGTATAATTTTAGGGATATACTTTTAGTTAAAAATCACTTTAGAATATTTTAGTAAAGCATTTTTAACCTTAGTACAATAAAAAGTACCTTAGTAATATAACTTCAATATATGTTTTTACTTAAAATACCAGTGTTCACAGGTAGAAGATTGAACTTTTTCTAAATCATCTCAAGGTTCATGGATAGTACCCCTTACACAATAGATAAATTAACAAGAGAAAAACATACCACTTTATTAAAGTTTTACATGATGTGGAGCCATCTAGTCTTGTGCATGATAGAGAGCTTTCAGAAATAAAGACCCAAAGAAACAGGGAGGTGGTGTTTTATTCTAATTTTGATTAACAAGTGAATACTTTGGAGAACTGTGATTGGCCAGAAAGTACGTGATCAAAATTTGGAGTTGAGGTGGGGGTAGATGACTCCATAAGGCCCATTTGTTTAAGTTTGCCTCTGGAATGAAAATCCTGTGACCTATTTTCAAGAAAAGGCCAGCCCTCTTCAGGTGACAGGAGTGAGAGTAAGTTTTTCTGCTTTCTACAGCTTCCTTCTGTTATTTTCTCAAATGCCAAAGCATTTGGGGATAGTGTATCCTGAACCCTGTTGATATGGCAGTTTTATAAGATTTGCAAGGCCTGTATGTACTCAAATCATGAAGTATTCCTTGCTTTTGCATTTTTAGTGATTATTCAACTTTTAGACTGCTGGAGATTGTATTCTTTTATGTGTATTTTCTTCTGTCTGTACTTCAAAAGGTAGTATATTTTAAACTGCAGAATATGATTGTCTGTTCAAACTGAAGAAACTGGCTTTCATTCCTTTGAAGCTTTTGTTTCTCTAGTATTTTTCTTTTTTCAAAACTAGGAAAATCATTATTTAGGACCCTAACCTACTATCTCCTAGCTGGTGCTGCAGTGGTCACACATATGCTGCCAATATTTTGAAACTGGACTTTATTCAGTGTTCTAATAGCTGTATTGTTGTGCTGCTTTTGTTAATGAAAAGGATTTCGATGGCTCCTATTTTGAGGCTCCATTCAAACCTTGAAACACATCTTTAAAATAGAAAGGGGAAAAATTGGGGTTGTTTGGGTTTGTGAATGAGTAGAATCCATATTCTCTAAGTACATTTTACAGTACAGTGGCTTTTGCTTTCCAGTGGCCCCTTCCCAGCAATTATGTCTCCTGCTTCTCTCACAGTTGTATGATAGTGCTTGCAACTGAGCTGGCAAGCAAAGCCCAGAAGAATAAAGAGAAAGTAAATATTATGGGATGGAGCTGAGGTTTAAACAAATGAAGTGTTAGGAAGATAGAACTCTAATGAAGAAAGATCAACAGCAATAGATGTGAAATCCCAGAGATTCTCTCTGTTGTGGAAACTAGCATTTACTTTCTTTTCTTGCTTACTCCACAGAATGGAAGGATAATCAGTACACATCGTGAGGCAAGCTAAATCAGATACATTAAAAAACAACAAAAAAAAAACTATATCCAAAAATATTACCAGTAAAATGATATGGTGAAATTATATAAACCAGACTATACCTTTTCTCACATTTTTGGACCTAAGTAAACAAAAATAAATAAAATCAATTTTGATTTAAAAAAAGAAAAAAACTTATATTTTGGGCTGGGGAGATAGCTCAGTGGTCTAAGTGCCTGCCTGTGAAGTTTAAGGACCCAAGTTCGATTACCGGCACTGCATGCCGTGCAGCCCAGGAACCCTGGGTGCTCCCTGCCAGCTGCTGAAATTGGGTGTGGTGGCACACACCGATAAACCCAACATTGGGGAGGCTGAGACAGGAGGATCACTCTGTGTCTGAGCTGTGCAGTGAGAGCCTGTACCAAATTAATTAATTAATTTTTAAAAACATGTTTGATAGATACCATCTCCAACTACTATTATGGACTACTGGACTATATTGGATCATTTTGCTGAATTCACGTACTTACAATATTTAAATGGCAATGGAATACCCATCTCTAACAAAACTAAACAAAAAAAGGAGATACAAAGGAAGAAGGACCACTTTGTATCTGTATATACAAAATAGTGAGGATAGATATACAGCTACTTTCTCTTAAATCAATGAATAGAAAGATTTGTACTCATAGTATTTGGACAGGATATCATGTCTGCATCTTGTACGATGAATAACCACTAAGAAGATAACAATATGCAATGTATTAATTATTGAAACTGTCCTATTAATTGGTTTTGAAAGTGTCTCATTGCTGTCTATTTCTGAATAAAATTGAAAAAAATTAAGTTTGAGAACAAATAACCTTGGGTTTGCTTCTCTCCTTGAGGTATTTCTTATTTTTAATTAATTTTATTGAGAAACAAATATGTAATTGTTTATTCCTATTTTAAACAATATTTTATTTTATTTTCCTTCACATTCTGTAAGGATTTAAAGTTTAACATACCAATACTTGATGGCATTTTTCAATGGCATAAGAAGAGGTACATCTCCCAGCATAACCCAACTGTTCATTACTAAGAAACGAAAAAATCTAGACACCATTTATATGGGCTCTCACCAGAGAAACTGCTTCACATTATGGTATTTTTTCCCCATTACCAAGAACTGCTTCCAACCTGTGCCTCTCTGCCCTACAGTTTGTTTGAGAGGACACTAAAAACTATGTTTGTGCTGTTTTTGCTTTATTCTTCAGTAGATTTTGGAAACCAGCCCTAATCTCTGCAGAAGAAGGGCCTTTCTGGGTAGATATTAAACATTCATTTCTGCCTTATTTTGTTGAAAGCTGTATATTTTTTAAAACTATAGCAATGTTAATTACGTGATTATAATGTCTTTTCAAGTATATAGGATTAATCTAAAATGTGCTAATTAAACTTCAAAGTAAAATTTGATCTATCTTTAAAAAAAATATTTAATCCATTCTCCCCTTGCATTTCTTTTTGTAAATGAAAGAAAAAGTTGGAAGGAGCATTGATATCTTACTATATATAGACTTGTGAAAACTATTTTCTGTTGCAAGAATCTACATATTTAAAATATTATTTTTGCAAGAATTTCCAAATTCCATTGAGAGCAGTACTTGTGATTTCTAATAACAAACACGGTCTTTCTCATGAACGTGAGGAAAATGTGCTTTTTTTATTCCAGATGGAAATTTGCCATGTGCAGAGAGATATTTCCATGTATATGTTGTGACAGATCTAATTAAGCCTACAAAACTGATATAAATCCATAAAAGCAGAGGCTAATAAAAGTATATGTTAACATCCCTAAAATTTCTCCCTATTTTGGTTACAGAATATTAAATACAGTGATCCCTTGGTTCATGAACTTAAGCCTTCCCATGATTCTCTAGAATGATTACCCCAAATGACTCTGCAGAATCATAGAAAGAAGTGCGTAAAGTGAGGCACAGCCCTACGTGACTTTACCATAATATAACAGTGTTACCTTATTTCATCATCCCCAAACAAAGAAAAAATTGTACAATATATTCATATTCAGACTGCAGAGCTAAGTTTTTTCTCTTTTTTTATAAAGCCATTTTCTAATAAATTCATGTTTAGTGTGCAATCCTTTATTCTCAGTTATTTTAAAATACAAATTTGAAAATAAAACTAACAGGAGGAACAAAGGGGCTCTGACTAATATTTAAGTGATAGTGAATAAAGAATTACTCATATGAGGTCCTTAAGCTGATTGAAAATCTTATTTTCATTTTTTTTAGATGTTGTTGCTATAAAAATAGGTATAAAAAATAAAAACATAACATTATGTTTTTATTTAATGTTCTCCAAAGTTAAATGAATGAACTTCTTATATGATTAATATTGGTTTTACTGAATTTTTGTCTTTCCAATGCTTGTTGTTCCTTTATGAAGAGGAAACTCCAAGTACCATTACTATGGAATTCGTGTCAAGCCAGATTCTCCTCTTAATCGTCTGCAAGAAGACATGCAGTATATGGCTATGAGACAACAACCCATGCAACAGAAGCAAAGGTATATTTGGGGTTACCATTAATAAGTCAAAGCTATGTATTTTTAAGTTGCTTAAGTCTCCTGTTTTTGAACAACAGAAACAAATATACCTAAATGTACAGGAATGTTGTTATTGTTGAAACCATCGCTTTCACTATCAGTAATTCTTTAATCTTGACATGCAGTTTCCGTGATCTTGTCTTCTAGAAATTTCAGTTCTGATTCTTTACCCATTTGATTCTTTTTAAATTAAGTGTGACATCTCAAACTAGCCAGACAGGGAAATGAAATGTAAAACATAAAGAACATACCTAGAAAATACCTACTGGAGAAAGTTGTTTCAGAATGCATGAGCGTCTGACTTGCTATTCTGCACATCCTTTAAATCATTCTTTTGGACCAACTATGAATTCTTACAGAGTGAGTGTCTGGGACATCTTACATTTTAAAAAATCTAAACATAGAATTTCACAAACATAGAATTCCAGAAGTTAGGAATTGTAAGAAGAGATCTCAAGTGTGAATGAAAGCATGCCTGGATGGATGGATGATGATGGTGGGTGGATGGATGGATGATGGGTGGGTGGATGAATGGATGGTGGAATCATATATCTTACGGTTGAAAAATACTTTAGTTTAATGTGGTCTCACAACCTTAGGACAGTCAAAACATTAATAGTTCCGCTTTTCAGATGAATCCCAGAGAGATAAAATGATTTGCACAAGTCTGTAATACTGTTGCTAGTCAAGGGTCTTCTAGTCCCTTCTAGTCCCTGCTATCGCAGTTTAGAGCAAATAAGACAAAATCTCATCCCTCTTTACCTGCATAGTTCAGGCATGCCACTTAGTTGTGAGTTTCTTGTTTTGTTTTTTCTTCAACATGTAGAATTAGGAGGAAGGAAGTGTATCCTAACATTCTACTGCATGATTCTGAAGTGATTTAGTGGCTTTGGTCCGATCTGTTTTAGTCAGAAGTGTCAGGCCTAAGACACTGCTAGAGAAATAATATATCACACACTAGTGCTTTCTCTATTTATTCAGCAAACACGGAGTTTCAGCTGTGTGAGAGACATGCAAGATAAGACGTCTTCCTATTCCTTTAAGGAGTTAAATTGTTAGAAGGAAAGGGATCTGGGGAATTGAGAAAAAAGAAATGCAGTCTGAGATGTGTTAAAATACAGCTTTGATCGGGGAACTATAGAATACAGAGTAATTTTCAACCAAACCTGGGAGAGGGAGGACTGAGAAACTTCACAGAGAAAGTGCTATTTGGTTAGGAACTAAGAAGAGTCAGATAAAGAGGAATATTTAGGCAGAGGAAAAATATAAACAAAGGACCTGGGGGAAGTTCATGATGCTTTTGGTAAATGATCCATGATTTGGTGAGGCTGGTTTTGTAGAATTAAAATTGAGGGGATGCTTTAGTATTTTAGTGGGAAATGAAATTTAAAAAGCAATGTGGATCATATATTAAGGGAATTAGTTTTATATAAAGGTAATAAAATTGTTCTTTGTGCAGAACATAGCTTTGAAGCTATTTAAGGCTTTCAAACAAAACAAAGAGACTGACTTTTTCTAAAGAGATTACTTTTTGATTTGGGGTAAGACCTATTTATTGGGGAGAAACTGGAGATAAAGGCACTTGAGTGGTTTCAACACAGTCTTAATTTCCAGTGTATGTGTTTCAGCCTGAAGATTCAGTAAGGGATTAGCTATTGCATAAAGATATTTTAAATGTTTTAGGTTTTTAATTATAGATTCTCATCTTTTTTTAAAAATTGCTGATCCATATTTTAATATAAAGTCAGTGAAACATTAAGCAGAACTGTAAAAGAATAAACTCAGTCATAAAGTAATGCCTTACATAATGGAGATAGAGGACATACAACTTTGCCTATTTTGAATGTTTTATCTATGTATTAGTACCAACACTATAGCTTTTATTTTCTGTTATAATCTCTGCTTATGCACAACAGGAATATGTGCTGGAGGTGAAAGCAAAATCAAGAAAAAGAAGAACTTGATTCAAATATAATATGTACTAAATTTAATTATGAACAAAAACTTCATAAATTTTAACTAAAATAGCTGGACTACTTCTGTGATTTAATTGTAAGCTTTCATGGAAAAAATGTTTTCAAGGGACCTTGTTTATAAACACTCTGAGTTAGGCAAACAACTCAGCTGTGAAATGAGTGAATTTGTGAAAATGATTCCAAAACTATAAAGATTAAAAAGCACTGAAAACCCCTGCAACCTCCATGTAATATTGGTAATTGCTTTTAGAAACAGGTATAGTGTGTGTTTATGAAGACATATAAAATTCTCAACAATATTAATAAATTCCACCAACTTTTGTGTCTCATAGAATTTGTTTTTTTATGAAATAACAATCTCAAAGAACCAAAATATTCAAATGTCTTTTAATTCTTTTTTTCTCCTGTGATACCGACTTTGTGTTGTGGACAGTCCCTTGTAAGATGGAGTCTTGATTACTGTTTGCAGCGTTTGTGTTGTCTGTTGCACAAGCTTGTACTCGGGACAGTAGGAGGCTTCAGTTATCTTTCTGAAAGTCTGTTCCCTGACAGCGTCAGTAGGCCTTATTTGAAGCTAGTTACCCTATTCTGTAGTAGCATTTGGATTGGAGAGAAAGGATTTCTCTCCAAAATTCTGTACCTAATTAAATCTATTTTGAAAATGTTGGAAAAAGAACATACTGTATCATTTCTTTTGTGATTTAAAACCTCAAATGAGTCTACTGAACAAGTTAAAGTTTATATAGAAGAAACTTCTATTGTTAAAGTAAAGGTTTCAAATATTTTCTAGTGAGTACTATAGTAGTATTTAAATTTCACAGTATTAAAATTATTTGCATATCTCTGGGATTATTAATTGCATCTATACATACACATCTTCCATGGTATGAATTTATGTGTTTTATATATCTTTATAATTAAAAAAATTAATTACATGCAGTGATTATTTTGTCAATTAAATTTAAGACTTGGGGCTCAATTTGTTTGTTTTTCTAGTAAATTTGGAATTGTAATTATGGTGTAGTGATGATTATTTTATATAGCTTTATAATATCATACAATATTGAGTTCTTTTAAATAAGAAATCTCATTTGAAGATTTGATAGGGTGGTACAGAAAATGTCCACTTATTTACAAATCAGATTCTCTGTATTACCACCACATGTAACATAGCCATGAATCTAGAAATAAATAAAAAGAGTCTCTAATTGAAAAGTAGATGTCATAGATCCTATAGTTTTCCATACTTGAAAAGATGAATTTATCCTTGCTATTTATCTAGTTTAAAGGAACATGTTAGAACCCATTTAGTTGATACGCTGTCATGGGATATGACAGCTACCAGGAGAAAATACAAGTTGACAGGGACTTCTGTTTACTTTTAGGTTATTCCATGCAGCTGTTTATGGACAGTTAGTAGAGGGACAGTTGGACATGCGGCCTCCAGTAGGCTTTGTGAGTGTCATTCTATTAACTAGAATTTAGTCTTACACAGTGTAATAGCTGTTTTGTGTACTGGTGGCATTATGAGTAACCAAAAAAGAAAGAATATGTGAATGTTAAAATATCTTCCGTTGAAGAAATTTCATATGATAGTAATTTGGCATTTAAATGAATTCTTGAGTTTTTAAAGAAATCCACTCATGCTTATCCTAATTTAAACAATAAATTAATTAGGCTATCAATGAGCAAAGGGACATTAGTACATTTCACCTATATAAACTATATAAAAATGTTTGTGTCAGTTTATTTTTAATGCTTTGAAGACTACACAGAGAACATTGGCACATAACCTTTTATATTTTCAAGTCCTCATAGTAAAAGTAGTGGGATAAAGCCAAGTGCTTTTGACTGTATGTCTAGCTGTGTTTGATCCCATTTACTATTTTCAGTAAATTAAACTGCATGTATCATTTGTTCAGCAAATACAGCTAAGACAAATCACAGGATCATACAGTGTTATAACCAGAAGGAAACTATAACTTTATCCAACCCATCCCCATGGTTAAAAAAAAAATGTAGAAAATCATAACAACGTGGACAAGAACCCAATTTTTTAAAAAAAAATTATTATAGGAATTCCATATGCAGAAATGTGATATACCCTAAAAATAAACATATATAAATTTTGTATTTGAAATAGAGAATTTGCAGGAATTAGAGCCTCTGAAAGAATGAACTTTGTGGCACTGAGGGTGAAGAAGATTCCCTTGAAGAGACAGTGCACCAAGGTGACTCTGGATTGGCTCTGCAAGCTTGCATGATCCTAAGGGATAAAGAAGGAAATTCAGGAATATTTGTCACTGGAAGACCTTTCTTAACGCAGGGCTCACATGCTAGATAAGAGAACCCTCCATTTAGAAGTGAGAAGTAGAGAGCTAGGCACTGGCTGTCTTGGTACTTTTTAAGGGAAGTGTAATGTTGCTGAGCTGAAGTTGGTTTCTTCTGTAAAATGCAGAGACTGCTTTACAGTGAGAAGATAATCAAGCCAGGCAGTACATACCTGTATCCCAACATGTGGGAGGCTGCAGCAAGAGGATCATCAGGAACCTGAGGCCCACTTCCACAGCATACTGAGTTCTAGGACAGTGAGAACAGCACAGTGAAGCCTTGTCCCCGACACTCACCCTCCAAAAAATAAGTGCCTCTGTATTTGGCTTTTGGAGACAAGGAATCTTGTAATGAAATATTTAGTTGTCAGTATGCTATTCCAGTAGTTCCTGAAGTAATGATCATGTTACCCATCAAAATCAGGAGACTCATACATAATCACCTCAGTAATCATGTAATCAAAATAATTCATGTGAAGTTTGATAATAGTAAAAGCCATGTATCCTAATGGTAAGTATTTATTGAATATTGAAAATATGGAATAAGGCCTTTATATGCAATATCTCATTTGACAGTTATTATTTACTGATAAGGATGGTAGTCCCACTTAAGTTTTGCTGTTTGCAAATGCTCACATTTTTTTCTTTGTTAAAG